ATGCTCACAAATATTTCAGATAGTGGGATTCTCAAGAATACAAAAATAAGAAATTTCATCTATTTTAATACATGTACATCCATGGTGGATTCAAGTCAATGTATGGCAAAACCAATACAATGTTGTAAAGTAAAGTAAATAAATAATTAAAATTTAAAAAAAATAAAAAATAAATAAAATGTCATCATTCAAAAAATAAAAGAAAGTATAGGTAGACTTGAAAAAAAATAAAAAGCTAACAGGCTTTTTAAATGTAAAATATAGCTCCTAGAAATGAAAGATAAAATTGTAACTCAAAACTCAGCAGACAATTTTACAAACATATTTGAAACTGGTGAAGAAGGTTTTAGTAAACTTGAAAGTAGAATTTAAGGAAATAATTTAAAATATAATCCCCCAAAAAACAAAGAAATGAGAGTTCGAAAAATATGTTGAGTCATAGACAATAAAATAAGAATATTTAACATATACCTAATGAGAATTCCATAAAATGAGGTAAAGACAATGAAATAGTCCCCCAAATGATGAAAGATATCAATCCACAGATTTAAGAGTCATAATGAAAACAAAGCAAAATAAATAAAAGAAATCCAGATTGATATAAATAACTGTAACACTGTTGAACACTAAAGGTTAAAACGTCTTTAAATCAGCCACCCTCCAAAGACATTATTCTCAAGTGAGCAATAACTAGGCTACTAGTGACATTGAAATAGCATGCATGACCTAAGACGCTAAAGTGATACTGCCTGAGAGGTGTAAAAAATAACTGCAAATCCTTTACTCTGTGCACAAAGTATTTTATGAGAGTTAAGAAATGTATGAACAGTTTCAGAAACAAAAAGAGTTGGTCAACAGCATAGCCTTACCAAAAAAGATTTAAAGAACTGATATTTATTCTAAGCAAAAGTAAACTGCTTTCTCATGGAAAACGCAACAAGGGGGGAAAAAACTGAAGAAAACTGCCAACAATTTGAGTAAAAATAATCCAAAACTGGATTAATAAGTATACAATAATTAGCATACAATAATAAAGCATACAATTTTATTCAAGTTTTAAAAAGATAGTATTACTGTTAATTAGACAACGAAGAGCTAATTAGAATTGCAGTACCTTAGTCTATGCCACAAGACCTACTCAGATTGGGTCCTGGAATGACACAAACCCATAATATTTAGCTGTTATAAAATTTAGAAAAAAAATACATATTTTACGTTATTTAAAAATTGATATCATGACTGTAAGGGGAACTGACACACAAGTTCAGAACTATTTATGTAAACCAAATGGCAGATTGAACTCTGAAGGATAATGACTTGTTAGTTCTCTAGGAGCATCACAAAAAGTTTTTAAAAGCTGTGTTCCCTTGAACATCATCCATCTTATGGCAGGTAGGTAAGTTTCTGTCAGTTTTCTTGGGATGGACAGAGGTGCTCCAAGTACCATTTGTCAATAAGTGTGGGAACTAGCCTTGTGTATCAAAGGAAACCTGAAATCTCAATTATCACATTTTGTTTTATATATCTAAAATATTCATTTTTTAAATTACTGGTTAATAAATTATGGACTTCCTAATACTTTTTTCATTTACTTACTTCTCTGTCATAAAAATTGAGGGTACCTAATTGGCTTTACTTTATCAGCAATGGGGAGCCATGGAAGTTTTTTGAACAAGGGTACAATGTGATTAAAGCTACGATTTTAGAAAATTATTCTGAAAATGATCAATATTTTATTTGATAATGGTATAAACCACTTGGCCATTGAAACTGAAAAGCAAACCCTAAAGTAGAATGGACTAAATCTACTAATTGCACTTCTGCTTTGTAATATTTGTGCATGCATGTGCATATATACATACACATATATATCAAGAAAATATTTCTAAATAAAACTATTGTCATCAATAATATTAATCAATAAATAATGCTGGTTAAATTGTGCTGCTCCTCTGATTTCTAGTTACTTTCAATAGGAATCTATGATAAGAGCCTTTTATGTGACACTGAGTCAGTTTTTTTCTAATGTATATTATTAAATGTATTTATCGAGCTATAAAAGCCACTAAATCTATATAGATTCTGTAAAATCTATACAGATTGTATACAAAATATATACAGATTCTGTAAAATATACAAGTCTGTGGCGAAGCCATTGCTTTACAACCTAATGTAAAATTTTGAACGAGAAAATAAATATTTTTTATTAAAAAATAAAGCATTGTGTAACTAAGGAACATTTTTTGAAAGTCAGTTTTTCATTACATTTATAATTGACCTTATGAGTTCTTACATAAATTAGTGGGGTTTTTTTCTTTTTCAGAAGAAAACTATCAAAAAATATAACCCTTATTTTCAGTTTGATGAATCTGAAACGTGTACTTTCAAAGAACAACCTGAATGAAACAGAGAAAAACTGACCAACGAGGTACAATAGAATTGAGTGTACCTTTAGAAACTAGAGCTGTAATCCAGTTTGTAAAAAAATAAAGAATGGAAGTATTGGTCTAAACTCCACTGAATCACAGGAACCTAACACAATACAATACAAGTGACATGCTTTTCTCAAAAAGGCTCAAGGCTCATTGAGTCTGGCGATTCAATTACCCTCTCAACCTGGAAAGAACCCCCCTCCTGAGTTGAGGTCCACTGGTAGAGCAATGTGGGACAGCCTACATCGTACACAGCTGGTAAATATCTTAAAAGCTGCAGGCTTTAAAGTACAAGAATCTCTTACCTTTTATGATTGCTACAATGATTCTTCAACAAAATACTACTTACAATAGAGTTCCTTAAATGTCTGGCATAAGATTACATTTTCAGTTAAATATCTCCAAATATCTTCTCTTCATATGGAAATTTATTTAAATAAATACCAAAGTGCACTGCTTCATCAGGTAGTAAGAAATATGAACAAACTAATGAAACAACATTATCCTAAAACAGAGATGATTCTGATCTTACTTAGATATTTTATAAGTTTTTCAAAGAATATCATTATTCCCATTTTGTCTTTTTGTCATATAAAATTTTGTAGAGCTTGAATGATTGTGCTATACACTAATTAGAATCACAAAATCACTACTAAATTAAAGATTCTCTAGGGAAAATTTAGCTAGCATGGATCACAGTTCTATTGCCTCATGCTTAAAGCCAGGAGTGCAACCTTAGGTATAATTTTAGCCAAAACTCTTTCTACTTCAAATTTTGGATATTTTATTTTATTCTTTTTCTCATGAGATTTCATATACATGCTTCACATAAATTATTTATTTTCATATATAAGTCAGAGATTCTGTGATGATAAATGTTGAAGATATTTCAGTTAATAAATGAGATCTCTTTTCAGACTGTATCTTCTTAATTACAAAACAAATACAGAGCATTAGTGATTTTCTACTATGTATAGAATTAAGTCTCAAATATGGAGCATTAATTAAAACATTTTCACAACTTAATATCAATCTAACTGCCTTGTCTCTTTCCCATCATTCTTCTTTATATAGTCAAAGCTCCATTCTAGCCACACTGAATTTATTATATTTCCCTACACATGCCATGTATAATCCACATTCTTGCTTTTTCATATGCTGAATAATCTTCTTAAACTAAATGGTTTCAGCACTAATCACAGTGAATTATCCGTAGGTTTTTGTGTTGTATTTTTTTTTTAATGTATCTGGTTTTGCTCAGAGTTATAATTTCCAAAAGGCAAGGTCATAGCAGGGATCCTTTTTCACCCACTATCTGTCACTGAGGTTGGTAGATAGTAGATGCTCAATAAGTAATACCAGAAACAAAAATAGAAATCACTTGTATAGTATTTACCATATTGAATGAATAGAAAAAATAATAACTCCACATCAACAAAATATTTGTTGAATAATTGCCATATCAGAGATTTTCACATGAAAATATTATTCAGTTTACACCACCATCCTGTAAGACAGATGCTATCCTTCTTTCATAAATGAAAGTGAAGAGAGAAGTCATTTTTCTTAGGTTCACAGGGGTTCAATGCAAAAATTCAACCTGGACTTCAAATCTGACCATGTAGATTAATACCATGTCCTATATCTAAGTAATAACCTCTAATTCTTTTGAAATCTTAAAGCTATATAAATTTATAACTTTTCTCCTACAACATTTTAAAATCACTGAAAAACTGAGAAAGAATCTTTATATGTAAAAAGGTACCAGGTAGTTGAAGGAGCACTTACTGGATTTTAGCAGCATTTTAGCAGAAGTACTAAATCCTGTGAAAAGAAGCAATGGCTGAATCCTTATGGGAAGATGCCTTCAGTTGTTGCTCAGTAGTTAAAGGATAGGATCCTTGACTAAGAGCTCATAATGCTTCTTTTGCAAACAAAAGATACTATTGATCATTTAATCAATCAACCATTCTCTTGTTTACTAAAATCTGGGCTTAGCCTTACATTGATTTTAAAAAACAACATAAATATCAAAATTCCTTTTTTTCTACTAAAGTCCATAAAAGTCTGTTTTCTATTTTTCAGTTGTTGTGGGGGTTTTGGTTAAAACACTATCAGTCTCTATGAATTAGTCTAAGTCTTAGAAAACTTCCTTTGATTTGTTTCAGTGCCCTAGAGTTAACATTAAAGTACATTTTAAAACAAAGATATCAAACTTGAAATGTGTTTTGATAATCAATGACAGTCCCTATCTATAAGCATTTCGCATGCTTAAGCTAGAATCAATCTATTCAGTGAATGCTTTGTATTAAAAAAAGATTCAATTCACCACAAACTAATTTTTAAGATAACAAACAATGAAAACGGATTTCACAATAATCATTATCACAGCTAGGAAGAGACTAATTAATAAAATGTGTCACATTCTCACATGCCTACAGAAATCATACTTTTAATACTTTAACCTAATTTACTAAGACAAGCTTTATGCTTTAATCATGGTTATAATAGAGAACAAGATCAAAGGCTGCTATTAATTTTCATTTGCAGAGCTAAATCCAAATTTACCTTGTTTGAGATACTTGTGATGAAAGATTTGATATCTAGATTTGTTGGACAGCTCTTCTGACAGGGGGCATCTGCACATTTCAGGCATCTAGGGAATAAAATAACTGAATTAAAGAAAATGTCAAGTAACATTCTATATATTCTCTACCCTAAACACATTCAGAGTTAGTGTCCAGTAAGAACAAATAAAACTATATTATTTTTAGGGACAAAAATTATTTAAGCAATAAACAAACAGTACTTGTGTTTCACTTTTTGCACACTTCCTAAGGTGTATAATATAGCACCATTCAGGTAAATAGCTACCCTTTCTCATGGTGTTCCTCCTAGAATTTAAGAATATCATACTTAAGATATATGACTCATCCATTTCCTAAGTCAGTGTTTTTTGGCTCTCTCGTTGCACTGATAACGCTTAGAGAATAGTCTTTTTTGTTGTTGTTGCTGTTTGTTTGTTTAATTTATTTACGTACTGCAGGGTCTTAGTTCCCTGATCTGGGGTCTAATCTGTGTTCCCTACTGTGGGAGTGCATTGTCTTGACTACTGGACCACCAGGGAAGTCCTGAGAATAGAATCTTTTATGATAATAGTTTTGTATGTCTTTTAGACAGTAGTTATAACACAAATGCAAAGAAAAATATCTCCTTTCACCACTTGTAAATTCTTTTCTTCCTCCATTTATCCCTTCCACTTATCCTCCCACCTCTCTTCCCTGACTCCTTCTTCCTCTCTGATCATCCCTCCCTTTCTCCAATTTTTTTTTTCTTTAACATACACACTATATACACAGCAATGGGCTTTGTAGTAGATACTGCAATGCATAGACCGGATCCCCTGCCTTCCAGACTGAAACATTTATTCTCCCAGCTGCTGTGCCCTCGAGTGAAGAAAATAGGCTGAACCAAGGTCATGCCCCCTTCCCAGGGGCAGCGAGTTTCCAATCACAGGTCACTGATAGGAAGTAAAGACCCATTCTCCTTGCCCCTACTTGGATAACAAGTCTTTAGGGATGCACTGCAGCCTTTACTGTGGCTGTGTCTGTCCAATCTTGATTCCATCACTCTTAAATAGATGTATATCTTCTAATAAACTTTCCATATACTAACTTCATATCAGAATTTGCTTCCTGGAGAAATGACCAGACACATGTTCAGACTTTAATGTGCATAAGAACTACTTGGGAAGCCTGATAAAGGTCATAACTTCCACAGAGAAGCCCCTCTTGAGTTTGAGTTATTGGCCCTTGTTGTTTAGTCGCTCAGTTGTTTCTGACTCTTTGCAACCCCATCGACTGTAGCCTGCCAGGCTTCTGTGTCCACAGGGTTCTCTAGACAAGAATACTGGAGTGGGTTGCCATTTCTTTCTCCAGGGGATCTTCCTAGTTCAGAGATTGAATTCACGTCTCCTACATTGGCAGGCGAATTCTAGTTAATGTCCTGGGAATCTGCATTCTGCTGCCATTTCCCCAGTCCCAGTGACTGCCCTCTATGGTGATTCTGGTAAACGTGATTGGAGAGAATCACAATTCTATAATTACTACTTTAGGACTGAAACCATTGGCTAGAATGGTCTTTAATTTCTACATTCTTATACTTTTTGTGTATTCATTTGATAAATATTTAATGAATCCTTGTTACATGTTAGAATCTGGGATATGAGGTTATAAAAATGATGAAAACGACAACCATGGCCCTGCTCCCACAGACCTTGCAGTTTGGAGGAAGTTCAAACATATAAAAGACACTTGTAGTGTCACTGTGGTCAGTGTGAATTTGGGTAGAAACCGCAAGCTAATAGAGCATATAAGAGGAACAGCAGTCCAGGAGGGAGAGGGTCAGGCAAAGCTTATTGGGAGAAATAATGCATAAAGAGATGCTTGAAGAATGAGAGGGCATTAGGCAAGTGAAGGAGGGTGGGATTTAGAGCAGAAGATCACTCGAGAAAATGACCGAAACATTAAAAACAGTATGTGCCAAGGACTAGAGAGAAAAGAACATGACACGGTAGGTAGACTAATGGAATCTGGTCTGGCATAAAGTGAGAGTGAGAATAGAGAGGAATTAGGCTAGTGACCTAAAATTTAAGATATATCATTGTCACATTTGTCAGAAGACGAGGATTTTCTGAGAATTTCACTCAGAATGAGTCCCACATTGCTCAGTGACAAAGGTGACCAGCAAGCTCATTTTCTATCCACTTCCATGTGTAAAGACATTGGTTCATTTCCTTTGAGAAAACAAGACCAGTCTCCTTGTCATTCTTTGTCAATCAGAGAGTCCTCTTCATTGTCTGGACCAATTTCTCAGTACCTAATTAATATCTTGTTTTTAAATCTGATCTCTTTTCTCTGGTTTGTGCCCTTAGCCTTCTCTCTAAATTAAATTTGACACAATGAGGACCGAAAGTTTTTCATAATCAATTGTCCTCTCTGAAATGCAGTCATTAAACCTCTCCCCTATCATTTCTCTAAATGCCATTGTTAGATTCACAGCTATCATTGAGTTGAATTCCTATCTTCTAATACTTAAGATTTTTTTCCCCTAAAACATTGTCACTGAGTTTAAAAAGAATTTGATCAGTAGCACAACAATCCAAAAATATAATATGAAATATATGAAATATAACATATAGGTGATACCTATATGTGTTAACTTCACATGGATAAACATGTTGTACATTAATAGTGTTTGAAAGGATTTCCTATTAAGAGGTAAAATAAAGTAGCTAAAATAAAAAGCTATAAAATAATATGCAATAAAAAATATCTTCTGACTTGTAAAAGTCATTTTGACAGTTTTTTAAACATCTGCAATTCCACAAGAACAAAACAACAGAAATACTTATGATAGATAAAGATATAGACAGACAGACAGATAGATAGAGGGTTCTGGCTATCCCTATTAAGGCATAAGTTTTGGGCTTTTCTTTTTTCTAACACCCAACTTAAATATAAGGCAATTAAGAAATAAAGTTATAATGTCAGCAGGTATGAATGAGCCAAATTAATGCAAAGTGTATTTTTCAGCTCTTCCAGAGAAATCTTAAATTCAACATAAACAGATTCACTTAACAGCACTGACAACGTAAGGATTTTTAGTTGTGGTTATTAAGCCTCTTTACCAAATAACTCTCCTTTTATTATTGAGCTAGTTCACAAATAACAGCTGTTGGAAATGTCAGATGTTAATGAGGCAGGGCAATGCAAACCTGAATTGTAGCATTCTTTTTTTCTTTGGTGCCATGAATATGCCAGAATGGGCAGACTCTGATAATAATACCATCTTGCAATTCTCTAAGCGCTCTGCAGACTAAAGTGCATCAGGCTGCCATTAATCCCACTTATCACTCTGACAGCTCAGTAATTACACTACTGCCATAGCCAGGTAGTCCTAATAAAATATCAGCCACTGCAGTGGAATGCATACTGGTGAGATGTTTTATTAAACTTGGGGGGGTTGATCATCAAGTGACATTAGTGTTGACCTATTTTTCTATTTGACAATAAATTATCCTTTGACCAAACCATAATAGATATTACAGAGTGCATTTACTGTACCAAATCAGAAAGGTACTGCATCGCACTGATGTAGGCAAATGGTGTAAATAAAATAGCAGAAAGGCATGTCAGAGTGGTATTACCTAAATTGCTTTAAATGATTGATACCATGAAAAACCACAGACACAGTACTTAGGGGAATATGTCAACAATTATTGTAAACCACAGTTCTACATAAATTTTTCGTTAGAAGTTAACATTTAAATTACGCTTGTTTTTATCTTCAGTCATTTAATTCCCCTTTTATGTTTCAAAGTTATCCATTTATAGTGCAGTTTATTTTGAAATGCATTGTAAGAGGCAAAATTTAATTCAGATAAACATTCATGTAATATTTTTAATCCCCAAATAATTACATTTACAAGGAGTATATTAAGTTATTTTAAAACAATAAAACATCTTAGATTTTTTCCTAGTGATGAACTTCTTTCATTTTCATATTTAATAGAGAACATGACAATAGATTTCATTAAAAAGCAAAATATAGAATCTCTAATAATGTTAATCCTTCATGATTCAACATCACCATAAAAAATGTATGAAAAATTTAGTACCACTATTTAAGGGACAAAAACTATTAAAGATATATTTATCCAGTATCTTTCTCTAGGGAAAGAGAGCTGTGATTCCTTTCCCCAAATATCAATGAGGCTGGAGAGTTTTATTCTATATTATGATACCAAAAACATTATAGTGAGTAACAGAAGCAGCAGCATTTCATCCTTCACACATTTAAGAACAGACACCTGCTTCTTTTATTGTTAAGCATCCATAAAAGTTGGAATAGTAACCTAGGCTTATTAAAGAATTTTTTAATCTTTGAGTCTAAATAATTTCTTCACCAGTAAAAAAATAATCACACAAATATATCTGACAGATTTCAAACCTCACATTGCACTGTCTTTGGGTTTTATTTGCTATACTTTGGCTCAATCAAGCCAGCACTGCTTCATCAGATTATGTATAATCCATATTAATGGATATATAATCTAACAAGGAAGTTAGTATTTACATTAAAATTATTTTAATATTGATGCTGGTTTTCCTCAGATCTTTGATGTTCAACAGCTTTATCTGGAAGGTCTAACTAATTCAAATGCAGCAATGGGTACACGATGTAATTTCTCTACCCTGTAATACCAGTGTAGGCAAATCTACAGTCTAACATCCTTCCCTAGCTCCACAATAATTTCTACTGAAACCAGGCAGAATGGAGTATCATATTGAATGGAAGGAGAATGAATCAAGAAATGAAGATTAAAAGTGTCATACCTATGTCTGAGTTTCACAGCTTGTATCACTGTTACCCAGTGATACATCTGGTACCCAGACATGGGCATAATAAAAGGACCCCAAAAAGGGTAGTTGGCATCTTTAAAATGTGACATCAATCCAATGTTCTGATACATCGAACACTGAAGGGCCATTCTCAGCTCAAAGTAATTCTTTCTGCTTTCTCAATATTCCATTAACAGCCATTCTTATACTTCTCTGTTTCTCTGACTACACAAGTTCTTATTAACCCATGCCT